TATATATATATATATATATATATATATATATATGCCTATGTATACATACATACATATATATCTGAATACACACACACACACACACACACACACACACACACACACACACACACACACACACACACTATATATATATATATATATATAATATATTATATATATATATATATATAAACAAATATATACATACATATATATATATATATATATATATATATATATATACATATAAATTACACACATACACACACACACACACACACACACACACACACACACACACACACACACACACACAACACACACATATATATATATATATATATATATATATATAAATATATATATATATATATAAACTGCAACTGCACACACACACACACACACACACACACACACACACACACACACACACACACACACACACACACACATATATATATATATATATATATATATATATATATATATATAACACACATACACACACACACACACACACACACACACACACACACACACACATATATATATATATATATATATATATATATATATATATATATATATTATATTATGTATATATATATATATATACACACACACACACACACACACATGTATGTATGTATGTTTATGCATATATATGCAACACACACACACACACACACACACACACACACACACACACACACACCACGCACACACATCACACACATATTATGTACATATGTGTTTTCTTTTAATTTCCCATTGATTATGGGGATATATAATGTAGCATAATATAAAACATTCTACATCTATGATTATTATATGATATCTAACGGTTAAGTTAACCAACATATATTATATGATATCTAACATATGTTAACCAACATATATATTATATGATATCTAACATATGTTAACCAACATATATCATATGATATCTAACGGTTAAGTTAACCAACATTTTTACTAGATCGTCCTGTTCTAGGAACAGGAATATAATACTGAAAATCTACACTACTACCATAGATAACCATATAGAGTTTAAGCTTTTTGATATGCTTTCATATTAATAGGGCCACGGCTAAGAAGAGCGAGGTTCAGGTTAATCTTTTGTGTGTGCGCTTTTATATGATATGTCATGTAAAGGCCCTATCACACTAGCACTTTTTTCGTCAATTTCTTTCTCCGCAAGGATCGTCTACAAACGGAACGCCTCCCAGACCAAGACGGTTACGACCGTTTCCGTCTGACTAATTTCCGTGTTGATCTTGTGCTATTAATTAATTATATAGGATGAGTAAATGTAAACATAAGCTAATATTTTAGAACATTCGTATATACAATGTACATCATCATATTTCTTTAAAGTAACGTAATATGTATGAGAATGTTCGTGTGATTCCCGGGACCTCGCCGATAGCGCCATGTTTGTTTACATGATTTTCATACGGAGTTCATTAGGAAAACAAAAACAAAACAAAAATAAAAACGGGAAAAGTGCTTGTGTGATACGGCCTTTAAGGCTCTATCACACTAGCAACAATAGTTACTGTTTTTTCTTATATCATTTATGCTTTAATCTTGGGCATATTCAGGCCTCCAAAAGTGTTCGATGACGAATAATATACGGGGAAGTATCTCATGTTTTATTTACTGAATGTGCTTGAATGGTTAAAAGAATATTACGAATATTAGGTTCTACATAATAATTTTACTTATCATGTATGTATAATTGAATATGCAGACATAAACATATTTATCCTTTTAAATATATTTAACATCAGTTAGAAGACTGTATCATTTTCAAAATATTTAAAGAAGTGTGACCTGCGAAACCGGGTGTCGATAGACGAAGGAAAAAGTATGGGAGGTGCTTAGGGCCCGCGCATTTTCAACTGATTTCGATAGTTTTCCGTCTTTAATTAATTTGTAATTTTGAGATTCTGATAACTAACAACGTGAACTGATTGTTATTTCCTACTGTCACATCAGTAAAACAGGTATTTGTGAACTTATACAATTCAAGAATAAAATAATATTCGCCAACTCGAGTACAATTCCTAGGAATGGGGGTGGAGCCGCACCTGTGGCAACAGCGTAGAAACATCAGCAGGGTTGCTGTCGCGATCGGCCCGGAGAATGTCGCAAATGAAAAAACGACACTTTCTATTATAATGAGGCAGTTTCTTGTCAGCGTAAAAAAGGCCTAATGTCTGACATCTCACAATGCACTCTTATTGGATAAACGTAATGACGTCATTAGAACTGTTCCCTTTATGTCGAGGTCAGTCTGTGCGATATCTGAGTGATTTTCAGTGCATTTTCTTTGAAAATAGTTTAATAATAAGAGTGTTAAAAATGATTGAAAAGGAAACCGAAAAGAAATGCAATGAATCAAGGCGAAGAGGCGGGGCTTAGCTCGGAAGTTGCCAATTAGCATTTTCATCAAGACAGAGTGGGGCTACCTATAAATACCTTTTTTTAAACATATACATGAACTTATTCATTT